AGATATAGATTTATTCTTAACGCCCCAAAGCTGAGAATGAGTCATGAGTAGGTTGGAACAACTGAGATGATGAAACCTAAACCATTAAACCGTGTCAAACAAGTTTGTTTGATTTAGTTTTATGTCAACCAGAGATATATTTTGTGTCATTTTTGCTGTAAAATACATTTACAACACGTTATAAATCAGCTTAAATCCCCAGTAAAGAGCTGGGCCACTCATATCATGAACAGGTCTGTCTTAAGTCTATCCTGTTGACAAGGAGTCTGGTTTTAAGGAGCACAGCGCCCCCTCCTGGCCAGGTCTTACACGTGCAGAGGTGGCTTGGTTTGGATAATTACCTGATGAATATCACCTGTGTCTGCCCATGCTTCTGGGTTGGTTTGAGAGGTTAGATGGAGGGTGCCCATATTTTCTGTTGACCACTAAAGTAAGTTGGCCTCTAAAGTATCCTGCAAGTCCATTCTCACGTTTCTCACGAAGTGTGTCACACAAACAAACACCGTTTAGACAGTGATGGCCTCATGTTTGCTCCTGAAGGCAGCCAAGACCTCCGTCCTTCCTCAGGGACTTATTTGGTGAAATGAATATTGCAAACACTGAATTAAACTCTATCCATAATACTATGTTAAAATAGTGGATGGTAAATAGGTTTGTACAATAAGTCCAAACAAGTTTAACCAAAAAATATTTATTTCTCACAATTATGAAGGCTGGAGGGTCAGGGTCAGGGTTAGGGTTAGGGTCAGGGTTAGGGTTAGGACCAGAGATGTACAGTAACGAAGTAGAACTACTTAGGTACTGTACTAGAGTACCAAAATGCAGTATCTGTACTTCATATTTATATGTACTTTATAATACATTTTTTTCCTACTTTTACTCCACAACATATTTTTGATTATTTAAATACTTTTACTTATACTTTCACGGGCTGAATCGTTACTCGTCACTGATATGTAAACGTAATGAATCTGTCAGGGTTTGGGAAGCTGGCTCCTCATTGGGCGATAGCCTATTTAAAAATGCCCCCCAAAAGATTAAAATCATGGCTTTCAATCTAATCTGACAAAGCACATCAAGGTAAGTTAAAAAATACAATGACATATAAGATATCAAATAAACACTAGTCTAGTTCTCCATTTTCACTCAGGACGTAGCAGTAACATTAGCTAAAGATAACCTAGCTGGCTAGCTGAATGATAACGTTAGCTAAAGCTAACCTAGCTGGCTAGCTGTATGATAACGTTAGCTAAAGACAACCTAGCTGGCTAGCTGTATGATAACGTAAGCTAAAGCTAACCTAGCTGGCTAGCTGTATGATAACGTTAGCTAAAGCTAACCTAGCTGTATGCTACATGATAGCATAAAGGCTCAGCTCAGGATTCTGGAATAATAAATAATAGTAGATTAAGTACTGTTCATTGCTAATGCAGATGTAGTTTTGTGTTTTCTGTAAATACCTATATGGCCTTTCACAAATTTAAAATAATATAAACAATATCTATCAAACTTTTGACGGCCTTTTTAAATATACACAATACTTGTAGTTATACTTGTACTTTAAATACTTGAGTAGCAATTTTTGAAATACTACTACTTGCAATACTTAAGTACAAAAAAATTGTGACTTCCACTTAAGTATGGTGTTGAAAGAATACTTTTTACTTTTACTCAAGTCAATTTTTTTCTATAGACGTAATTCTGTGTTTATGTTCTGGACCTTTAGGAAAAGCGTCCACTTCCGGTCCCGGTCTTCCGGCTTCCGGCTTCCGGCTGGACGCGGTGCACTTCCGGTCTGGTCCGGTAGAGGCCGCTGCTGACAGGCTTTGCTCCTGGCGTTCCGCTGTTTTTCTGCAGCGGGGGGAGGGCGCCTCCCTCAGCCCGCGGGGGGGGGGCTCTCCTCCCCCC